CAGGCCTTTAGGGGGGGGGGGCATGTACTGTATTAACAATAAATTGACAATAACTACAATTATTATGAATAAATGTATACCACTGTTATTATTATTATAGATCGATACAAACTTGCAACGAAAATTCGTTAATTTATTTTCGGAATTTTATCTTGCGCGTCATTTTAAAAATTCGACGATGAAAGCAAACATCAATGCAAAAAATATATTTATAACTTCATTATGCAAATAAATACTAGAGTATGAAAACTGAAACTTTTCTGAGTAGAAAACTTTTTAGAGATAGAAACCTAAAAATAACACTTGGAGAAAAAAAACTTTAAAATCAGTATCTGTTCACAAACAACGCTTAAAATGCAATTAGAAACAAATCTTAACGTCGTTTAAGATACAACAAACGAAAGTTATTAAAATAAATTGTACTTTCTTGTATTTGAAAATAAATTGTAATTCTTAAAATGCTATTAAACTTAACTCGTATTAAAAACAATGATATAAAATATTTTCAGTACACACTACTTATTTGTTTACAAAATATTAACAAATCACGATTATGAGCAAACATAATCTATTTGCAATCAATTTATATATAGAGAGAAGGATAAATTTCAAAACTATTTCAAGAAACAAGTTTTAAAAAGAAAAATTCAAAATTTTTTTTTAGATATTTCAGTACGTAATTATATGCAAATTTTTAGCCTATAATAGTAGTTATTAAGATCTAGATTAAAATGGATATAGTAGTTGCATTATACCCTAAACATTCCAAAGATTATAGCAAAAACAGCTAAATTTGTTGAGAAAGATTGATGTTGCATTAAAAGAGAACACACGGCAATTAATCTCTAATTCTTTGACATAGACAAGCGCAATGATTTCAAAATTGAAATATAGGTAGGTACACCTAGCAATTTTGAACAGTGGCTGAAAAACAAAGACAAAAAGCTAATCTTTCAGCTTTGATCAAGCAATGATGACTAAAAATGATCAATTTTGATTTTATTACAAGCAAATAAAACATAAGCATTAACATAAGCAAAACATAAGCATATGGTTAAGCATTTAAAATAAACTAATATTTAAGGATAGGCTAATTCCCTTCAAAACTTTAAAAGGGGAGCAATTATTTAATTTTTTATCCAATAAAACTAAATATTTGCATTAAAATCAAGGGACTACTATAGGCTCCTAGAATAGTGAAAATTTTCTAGGAGCCAGCATGTTTTGTTATGAAAATAACGTAATAGTTTTTTGCTCTCATATTTTTTAATATTAGGCGCCAGCTACGATTGTTTAATAGTCATGGCGATCAGGTACCCCAAATCAAAGTCGAAGAATTTTTCCAAATAGCAAGCTGAGAAGATTTGAAAGATTAAATGCACATTATACATCTTTAAATTTGATACAAAGAAGAAAGAAGTATAAAATAAACATTGCAATTACCTCATTTTCAACTAATATAGGAGCCATGGGTGAAACTAAACCAGAAAGAGAAAAATGCATCCTAATGATCGAAATGAGAGGATAGAATGTTCACTCTAGAGTTTATATAGTTGTACAGTTCTTTGCTTTCACCTAATTGCAACATAGAAAAATAAATTCGGTCCTTAATTTCTATTTTTTATGTTAATTTTTTATATAACTACAACATTAAAGAAAAAAAACTGTAGATGTTTTCTCGTAATGACCATCTTTAATGTAAATTTTTAGACTCCTTATTAAAAATGAGGAAAGAAATGCACTTATTAGGGGCGAGAGAGGGGAGCTGAACACAATAGGAACTGCTTGATAAACGGGAGAAAGAACAGTTAAAGGGCGATCATTAGAAACACCTCGAAGTTTCATCGAAAAATGCAAAATGACTTTGGGTATTTTCACTCCGCCTTTCTCACTGGTGATTCGTTAGATTTCGATAGCATCCCNCAAATTCTCGACCCCTAATGTGCATGTTATTGTAAAACGTAAATCTTGGGTTTTGTAGGTAAAACCTAGTTTTTACCAAAGTGACTTGGTAAAAGTTCAAGGTATGCTTTGTTATGATTCCATTTCGACCTTTTTACCAAATAGTTGCAGTAAAAGAGTAACCAAGCCACTTTGGAAAATCCTACTTTTTACCGATAAAACCTGGCTTCTACCCAGTGGCTTGATAAAAGTCAGAAGTAAGATTTCATTTTCGGTCAACCATTATACCAAGCTTTTACTGTAAAAACAAAAGTTTACCAAACTCTTTTTAACAGACAAAAAAAAAAAAAAAAAAAAAAAAAAAAAAAANTTTTAAAAAAAAAAAAAAAAAAAAAAAAAAAAAAAACTAAAATATACCAGGCAGCTTTTACAGTGTACTTCTCAGACCTAGTTTTTGACAAGGATACTAAAATATATATCCAAGACGGTCATTGCAAAATATATCCTGCATATTGTATTACAAACACAATTATACTCAAATAATATGTTTTAAAAACTGAGAGGTCGCGCCCTACTTCATGAAAAATAACCCACTTCTGCCATAAACTTCTATGACTAGAAGGAATATATTAATGAGGAAGATATCAATTCTTTTTTAAAAAAATATATTAATTTCTTCAATCAGATAGGCTTTAAAACAGTTTAAGCTTCACAATCCTCATGCATCCATACTTGAGCATTTCTGCTGGTTCTTTCGTCAACGTTTTGAACAACTCTAGTAGATCACAGGTTTGGACATTTTTCAGTAGACCCAAAGTTACACATTTCAGTTCACGCTAACACCATAGAGAGGTGATTCCTGAGGAATGAAGCGAATTCCCTGGCTCAGACTTTTCTGTCTTACATGCTACAAAAGAAAGAAAATAGTTATTAGAAAGCAGTCGATAATTTAATGCAGTACAGTAAGAAACACAACAGTTATTTATCCGCGAGAGTTAGACCCGACCTTTTTCGAAGTCAGTGAGTCCCTCAAAATGATTAAAGAGATACCTATTATATATATGGGTGATTCTCACGAAACATGACAATTCTGCAGAAAACAACAGTATTTCTTAAAATAACTCAGATAAATCTATGTAGTTTTTGTTATTAATGATTTCAAAAAGCCAGGAAAACGACAGCATAAAAACCTACTCACCTTGAAAAAATTTTTGAAATAGATTTTGAGCCAGAAAATTGGTTCTTTATTCATGCAACAAGACATGTTCAGATAGGAGGGTATCTAATCAATCTATTAACATAAGATATTGATTTCTGGAGCTATCTATTTTGGTTATAAATCACTAAATAAAAGTAGCCAGGAAAATGACAGATTTTCATGGGACAAACAAATTATTGACAGAAAATTTTTTTTTAAACGAAGTTTTAGTAAACAATACCCTCTGCGTACATTCTAGAAATGCTTACATAGGATAAGATAAAAAAAATT